AATTTTTGTTATTTAATAAATTGGGATCTAACAAGTAAAACAAAAGTAACAATTTTATAGTAATGTTATATTAAAACTTTATTGAACTTTTACACTATTACATTTTAATGAAGTTAATTATATTTAAAAAATTTTTGTATATTTTTTAAATTATATTTAGTTTTATTATCTTTTTTACTATTTATTTTTAGCTGAAATTTTTTTATTATCTTTTTTTATTTTTTAGAAATAAAAATGTTTGGTTTTTTTTTAATTTTGTTAAAAAAGATTTTATATTTTTATAAATATTATATTTATAATATTATAAAGTTGCAGTTTTCTTAGTATAATACAACCAAGTAATAAAGTTAAATTTTTTTTTTCGTTTTTGCTAAGGCCATTAGTTATGGCAGCTACTGCCTTTATTGTGAATTCAATTATGATTACATAACTTGTACAAGGTTACCCCTATACTACATTAGCAGATAGCAGCACAAGCTCCTATACACCTAATTAGATGCTGTCTAATCTAACTGTGACCTTACTGTCTGTATGTCTGTCAGGTCATTACACATTTCAGAGTACGTTACCTGATTATAGGGCTTCAGAAGGCCCTCTTGCTAACTAACTACTCATATTTAATCTTTGTTAACAGGGCTCATCCTTGTAAAGTTTACCCAAACCCCAGTACTGACTTTACAACATATCCCTAGTACTTATAATATACCTTGTTTCCAAAACTAGACTCTCAATCCAGATAGCACAGTAGGACTGTGACCTGTTCCTGGTACTTCAGAGTCTATCCTCCAAGGTTCTTTTCCTTTGGTTTGAAACTTCTGGTAGCCTGGTTGGTGGTACCTCTTATCCAAGGTTCTTGCCTGCCCGATTCTTTCCACATTAGTATTTGTTTCCTAGGTCTAGCCTTTACAGTAGTATTGTCAAAAATTCATGTTATCTCTTTATTCAGGTCTTTCTAAATAGGCTTCTGATTATCTCAGTTTACAGATTTACATGATCACAGATGCCCTATAATCTGCCAGTTATCTGATGTGATCATGTTACAGGTACTGATCCCAACTGATCAATAGATAGCCATTGTCATAGTACTAGTTTCAAGGACTTATCTTGTGTTTGTACTGCCTAATGCCAGTTTGCATTCCTCTGTATAACTTTAGCATTGCACAGATGCTCATATATACCAATTTAATATAGGTAATTTTTCAAATTTTTGCTATTGGTGGGTTTTGAACTCCCAACTTACCACTTAGAGGTTGACAACTTATTCACTTCACTAAGTCACCACACTCTTAGTAATAAAGTTATTCAATATAGTAATTGACTATTACAAATATATATAAGATAAAGGTGTAGTAGTTTACTTTACTATATAGCAGCAAACAAACAGTTTAAGATAGTAATAGTATATATATAGATTAAACTTTATTAGCAAATATATAGTAATAACCATCAAAAACTCTCTTTGCTAATTCTAAATTTCCAAACAAGATTAAAAGCAAATATATAAAAAAACATAAAAATGACTTGACAAACTTCATTCTAACTCTTAAGAAAAAAGACTTAGAAGACAAAATACAACTACTTTGTCTTAACAATAATATAAACAAAGTCTTGTTAAATAAAACTGTAACTGGTTTTCAAAGTTTTTTTTGTTAAAAATTTTTGGAGAAATTGAAAAATAGTATTAAACTCAAAAAAACAAATCAGAAGCATGTGACTAGTATATAAAATAAACAAAACTAAAGCAACATGTTATGTTATACTAAACAACAAGAATTAATAATAATCAATCCAATTAGGAAACAATAGGTAAGTATAGTATGTGTAGCAAGCAAATAGATAAATATTAGAAAGTCTAGAAATGGAAATATAAACAAAATTGAGGTTACTATATAGCACAAGCCTAATACAACATATCAGAGGCTTCAGTGATAGAAATAGGAGATATATAAATAGCAAAATACTAGATTCAATCTTATCAAAACTGATAAATAATCTAAACAATAATCCAAAAAATATAATACCAAATGATCTACTTCAGTATAGCCAAATTTTAGAAACACTTAAAATAGCAACAATATGCACAGTATTACATAATATTATAAAAGAATAGGCAACAAAATTAGCAGTAATAGATATAAACTCAGTATTATAGAATGAATTATTATTTTATTATTATTATTATTTTAACCTTAAGCAGTTACACTAGTACTTTATTAAAATTTTTAAAACTATATACATATACAATTATATAAAATTTTCTAATACCTAAATCTAGCATTACTCAGTCACCCTTATTGTACCTAAGTGCAACCTGTTACACTATCTCAGTTAGAAATAGACTGCTAGTCTAACTACTTAAAGTTATACCAAAAGGGCCTTTTTCTTTCTATAATAAGCATATTAATTGTCTTCAAAGCTTCTTTCTTTATTTGGTTTATTTTTTCTATTTTTCTTTCTTTTTCTTTTTCTCTTATTTGTTGATTCATCCTCTTTTTTTTATTTATTTTTTTTTTTGTATGAATATTTTTTTTTATCTTGTTTGTTATATTAGTCTTCTTTTTTTAGTCTTGTATTTTTCCATATCAGACTCTTCATACTTGGTTATAGAAGGTGTTCTATACTGTTTTTATTACTATATCTATGCATTTCTGTATTGCTTGCTTACTAAAGAGTTAGTTGAGTTTCTTTTCTACTTTTATCTTTATAAGTCTCTTTATCAACACTTTTCTGTTTTTGATTTTTTCAACTTCTGATTTTCCAAATAATATTTTATATAGAACTCATGATGGAATTCTGTTTTTCTCTTCTTCTTTGAGCTCATTCTATATTGCTGCTATTGCAACTTTTTAAATCTATTTCTATAAACTTCTTTGTTCATTACAACTTGTTAGATGTGTCTGTATTTCTTTTTTCCCAACTTAGCATACCTAGTACTCTGCAGTTTTATATACTTCTGGTCTTCTTCTGTTTAACTCTTTAAGTATTGACAGTTTGTCTATTATATATTTAACTGCTGTAGTTCTTCTTGTACTGAGTTTTTTGATATATAGTAGACTTCTCTTGTTCTGTTTATTTCTTTCCAAAAACTTGTTTAATTATATAATGTTTTTCATTTCTGGCTCTAGTGCTTTTATTGGATTGTTTCTCTCCAACTGTTTCTAATTCTGACATTCATTATTATTTTACATAAAAGTCTTGCTAGTATATCAATTTTCTTATTTTCTTACTCAAATAGTACTCTATTCTATCACATATAATCTTTTTTGCATATATTAAATTTTCACAAATTGCTTCTTTTTTTGTAAAAGAGTCTGCTTTATCATTTTATTTATTTTTACTATGACTTTTAACTTTAACTATTTCTGTCTTTATGTTCTTGCTTTTAATAAGACCTATAATGTTTATTATCCACATTGTGTTTTTTCTCTTTATAGTATTTTTATCTTTTATGTTTTGAATTGCTCTATTAATGTTTCTTTATGCTGCAATGCTATCAGTATATATTTTTATGTTTTTTTCTTTTGGAATTGTTAAAATTGTTGTCCATATTGCTGCTAGTTTTGCTATTATTACTAATAGCCAATCCTTGAGTCCAAATACAATTTTCTCTTCTGGTCAGTCTTTTTTATTACCTACTTGTACCTAGCCAATACTCATTCTTTCTATATTGTTTATTTTTTTTTCTTATATAATGTTCTAACAGTATAGACAATATATTTTTTTTTGTTTCTTCTCTTGTTCTGTATTAAGATTTTTGTTAGTTAATTTGTATTATATTATTTAACTCTTGTTTTTTGATTAGTTCTATTTTTAATTTTTCTGTCAGTCTCAATTCTAATAGCTTTATTTCATCTCTTTTCTATTCTTTCATAGTGCTCGTCAAAATCGAGTAATAACTTAATTATCAAGTTTAAGCATCTACCTGTAATACAAATCAGATCTTAAATATTTATTTATTTTTAGTAAACTAATGAATCAAATATAATGCTTATATTTTATGATCTTGTTTTTATCAGTAATTAATTTAGCAGATGAATGCAGATTACTTTATTTTGAAATATCTAAAAAAAAATATTGTTTGCTTTTTCATAACTCGTAAATCAGCTACGACTAAGCTATTCGGGTTTGCAAAGATCTTCAGATTAGTAGACAAGTTATAAATCGTGATATGTAAGTTGTTTAATTTATTATTTTTTTTTGATTCCTACTACTTATAGTGGTATGTCTTTTTTCTTTTTGAATTTTGGTTCTTACCAGTCTTCTTTCTGTTGATTATGATGAATTTTTCAGCTTTTCTCATGGTCTTTCTGCTTTTCTTATTATTCCAGTGATTAAGGTGGTATGTATATATGTTTTTTTTTTCTTTTTTTCTTATTGAATTTTAGTTCTTACCAGTTTTCCTTCTGTTGATTATAGTGGATCTTTTGGCTTTTCTTGTGGTCTTTCTGCTTCTCTCATTCTTCTGGTGATTATGGTGGTATGTATGTATTTTTTTTTCTTTTTTTCTTATTGAATTTTGGTTCTTACCGGTCTTTCTTCTGTCAATTATGGTGAATCTTTGGTTTCTCTTATGGTCTTTCTGCTTCTCTCATTCTTCTGGCAATTATGGTGGTATGTATATTTTTTTTTCTTTTTTTCTTATTGAATTTTGGTTCTTACTGGTCTTTCTTCTGTCATTTATGATAGATCTTTCAGCTTTTCTTGTGGTTTTTCTGCTTCTCTCCTTCTGCAATTATGGTGACATGTATATATGTTTTTTTTTCTTTTTTTATTTTTAAATTTTGGTTCTTATCAGTCTTTCTTCTGTCGATTATAGTGGATCTTTCAGCTTTTCTCGTGGTCTTTCTGCTTCTCTCATTCTTTCAGCGATTATGATAGTATATATATTTTTTTTTCTTTTTTTCTTATTGAATTTTGGTTCTTACTGGTCTTTCTTCTGTCAATTATAGTGAATCTTTCAACTTCTCTTATAGTCTTTCTGCTTCTCTCCTTCTGGCAATATGGTGGTATGTATAGTTTTTTTTTCTTTTTTTCTTATTGAATTTTGGTTCTTACCAGTTTTCCTTCTGTTGATTATGGTGAATCTTTTGGCTTTTCTCATAGTCTTCCTGCTTTTCTTATTCTTCTGGTGATTATGGTGGTACAGTATGTATGTTTTTTTTTTTTTTCTTATTGAATTTTGGTTCTTATTGGTCTTACTTTCGTCAATTATAGTGAATCTTTTAGCTTTTCTTGTGGTCTTTCTGCTTCTCTTATTCTTCTAGTGATTATAGTGATATGTATGTATTTTTTTTTTCTTATTGAATTTTGGTTCTTATCGGTCTTCTTTCTGTTAATTATGGTGAATCTTTTAGCTTCTCTTGTGGTCTTTCTGCTTCTCTTATTCTTCTGATAATTATAGTGGTATGTATGTTTTTTTTTTTTATTAAAGTTTGGTTCTTACTGGTCTTCCTTCTGTTAATTATGGTGAATCTTTCAGCTTTTCTCATGGTCTTCCTGCTTCTTTTATTCTTCTAGTGATTATGGTAGTATATATGTATTTTTTTTTTTTTTCTTATTGAATTTTAGTTCTTATCAGTCTTCCTTCTGTTGATTATGATAAATCTTTTAGTTTCTCTTATAGTCTTTCTGCTTCTCTTCTTCTAGCGATTATGGTGGTATTTATGTTTTTTTTTTCTTTTTTTCTTATTGAATTTTGGTTCTTATTGGTCTTTCTTTTATTGATTATGATGAATCTTTCAGCTTTTCTTGTGGTCTTTCTGCTTCTCTTATTCTTCTGGCAATTATGGTGTTATGTGCTACTTTATACATTTTATATTCTAATATCCTTTTTTGCTTAATAAAACTTTCTTTTAACTAACTAGATTAAGCATGATATTTATCAATATCATGATGTTTATTTGGCTCTAAACTAATAAGTCTATTCTATATCAAGACTAGTTGTAAAACATGAATCACATTTTGTAAAGGCTACTATGCGTTAATCGAAAATATTAAAAACTCATTTGTATTCATAAAGTTAACTTCTAGAAGTAGTTATAATTTTTATATTTAAGACACTAAAAAAATAAATATAATAGTGATTAAAAAGTAATACATTTATATAATTTTAAATATTAAGAGCTTATTGCTAAATCCAATTATTTATTGATTGTAATATTTTTCAAAATTTGGGTTCTTATATATAATTATTTTTACTTTGGGCCCTTATATATAATTATTTTCATTTTTCAGACCCTTATATATAAATTCCTTTAAAATAAACCTTAAATGATATTATACTATTATCATTAACTACTATTATATTATTTCAAAATAATATCTTACCTAGTGATGAGCGATTATTTGAGAATTGATAATAAATGTTAACTATTCATCAGTAATAAGAAATGAATCTAAAATATGTAGTTCTAATAGTGATAAAATAATTACATAATTAAGAATAATAATTTTTATTTAATGAATTTCTTTGATATAAACAATTATCGAGAACTTTAAATTCTAAATTATTATTACTTATTTGCCAAAAATTTAAATAGTATTTATTAATAATAAATAATCATATATAATCAATTTGGCCTATTTCTAATCTTACCATATAAAACACCTTCTTCATCATTGAAATTGCTGAATTTGTAATTAGTATCTGATACTATTCAATTTTAAAACCAAAGTTCTGAAGAAATTTCCCACATAATCATTTCAAAAGAATAAATATCTGATGCTATGATAAATGATTTTTTATGCAAAACTTCTGATGCTATGTATGGTAAAACCCTATAAATTCTAGTCTTTGTGTTTAATGTTTTGTTAACCGCTATTGCAAACCCTAAATCACCAATATAAGCATTATATATATTATCTTAAATAAGACCCTTAGTACTGTAAGCAGTGGCCAACAGTGAAACATAGCGTTAATACTCAGCACTAGCAGAACCCTAATGCTCAGATAATAAAATTTATACTCTAATCAATATGATCATGAAAGAACCTTGTGTAGTATCAATATAGGAACTGCATTAAATCTATATTAATTTTGTCAACAAAGGAAGATACTGAGTATTATATTCAAATAAGTTAGTTAAATAATTTTATTTGTTACCAATTCATTAAATAAAATTATTTTTTCACTTATCAAATAAAAACCTATCATCAGGCTTTTAATTATATTTTGTATCAGAAACAATCTTTCTAAATTGTAATTAATACAAAATATAATTGAAGACCAATAACAGGTTTTTCTTAGCAGCACTCAAATAAAAATTGAATTTAAGCAAATTTATTTAGAATTCCATCACAATATTTATTTATTTGAAACCTATAAGTTTCATTTTAACATATAACAAATCTAAACTTACAATTTGCTAGAAATGCCAAAACAAGATGAAACAAAAAATTTTTAAAATTTTAATTTCTAGTCTAATTAATCTGTCATGACACTGACAAATTACCTTGACTTTTATAAGTGCATTCAAAAATACCAAGCCCTATATATATAAAAAAACACAAGTTCCTATAAGTTAACTACTGTATTAACAGAAAAGAAATTCTAATGATTAAATCTACTAGAAAAATAGCTAACATTGCAATTATATACAGAGACAACTCTTTCTAAAATGAACTAAAAATTCTGGAAAAAAGAAGTTCGTTGTAGAAAATTATTATGTTTTATTAAGAACCTATAAAACTTCTTATAATAAACTATTATGAAATTTTAAATTTTGAGCTTATTTTATCTAAAGTTCATTATATCCAGACTCAACTTTAGATATAGTTCATTATTACTAATATGTGCATATTTCAAAAACTCATGAAACATTAAAAAAAAGAATTAATATATCCAATTATAATTCTAAGTTATTAATTGAGCAGGCAACTTGTAATAAGAACTATTTAGCTTCTGTTTCTGTTCAACATTATTATAGAAAATGGTTATAATGATTGCATAGTTGAAATCTATACCTTGGCAAGACCAACAGCCTGATAAATATTCAAATCTCATCATTTTGGATTACATTTTATTTACAATTGATTGGACTACAATATCTCTCCTTCGATTTGCTAAAAAACTACCAATATAATCAGAATTATATTTATAAGTGGCTTTACTTATAACAAACCTTGAAAGTCTATTTGTAAAAATTTTTAAACTATTTCTTATTTGCAAATTAATTAGTTCTCGTTTCATGAAACAGGCGAATGGGACCTGGCTAGCAAAAAATGGTATATTTAAAAAATTTTTTAATAAAAAAAAATTTATATATAAAAAAAAAAATTAGCTCTTATAAAAAAGTCACCTAACTAGGACAAAAACCAATTTTATTTGTTTGCATGATCTTATTATATTTTTATACTGAACTCTGATAATTTTGCTAAAAAAAAAAAAGGCTTGTTATATCTTGAGCTGACTGTATAATAAAAACATTACTTCATAATATACAGATATACTATCAAATAAAGCTTTTTTTTTAAGAAAATGGGATGATTAACACAATCTTATTTTTTCTTAGTTTACACCTCTACTCTCTTACCTCTCTATCTAAAGTTAATGCCTTTAAGCATAAAAAAATTTTTAATATACCAATTTTATATAACAATTTTATATCGATATGTAACATTAAACCTTTGTATCATATACATGCATTATCATAGCCAATTGATCAATGGCAAATAATTTCAAGAATATATATTTAAAAAAAATTTTAACTACTAAATATATAATTAAAAAAAAAAAGTACAAAGTTTTTATTATATTTTTTTTAAGCTATCCAGTCACAAAGTGCAATTGCTTTTTGTATAGTTTCTGGATTTAGTGATCCATATTTTATGATATTTATGTCTGAACCTTTAGAAAAAAGTTTTTCAGAAGGTGCACTTGTTGTTAGTATAGCAAGATAGTCATGTGCCATACTAGCTAATATTGGAAACTGTTTGGTATACAAGTACTACTATTTATATATGTTCATTCTAGGATGTACTGTAGGACTATCCAAGTACAAACTAATTTCATCTCTAGAACTGTAAAGTTTTTTATAAATATAGTTAAGAGAATTATTATCAGAAATATTACTAACTATATAATTATTTTTATATTGATTATATACATCATTTAGGCTTTCAGTTGCCCAAGTAATCCATTTATTGTCCCAGCCTTTTTCTTCATAATATGCTTTCTTAAACTTTGGATCAAGCAAAGTTGTTACAACATATGCAGAACTACTACTTTTTGTATAATAGATAATTAATTTCTTAAATGCTTGCTCAATAGCTTTATAAATTATTATGATTGAACAATTATCTTGCATGCCTTCAAGATTATCCATAATTTGGTTATAGATCAGTATAACAAGAGACATCATGATATACGATTCACTACATAATACTTCAAACATATCGTGGAAGGATTTTAGAAGTAAAAACACAACTTCTAATACATTCTATTCTCTTTCCGAAAAATCAAAATCATTTAGTTCTCGAATTTTACTAACTATTCTATCAATAGCTAGTGACATAGCAATAGCCCATTCAATCATGCTAAATGTGGAATTCCACTAGGTCTTTGAGTCGAGACTTAGAGTTTTATATTGTATATTAAGAGATTTATATAGTTCTCTTAACTTATTATGATGTTAGGGTGAAGATCGAATTTTAGCAATTAATATTTGAAGTTTTTTTATAATTAGGGTTTAGATAGTGGTGAACTGATCTAGAACTTGAAGCTTATCCTCATCTTGATCTAATAGCTCTGAGCATAGATAGTTCAAAAAGGCTTGTAAGGCAAGATTAATGACATGAGCCATGCAACAAACATAACCATGTTGCTTAATAAAGGAGCCATCAATGCTTTTATACTTGACCTCAAATGTCTCAAGTAATGTATCATTACTTGAGGCATTGTCAACAGTTATTCCTAGAATTTTATTAATAATACCAAACTCATTACAAATACTAACTAAAGTATTTGATAAATTAACTTCAGTATGTGCCCTATTGAAAAGTGCAAGATCGAAAACTTGCAACTCAACCTTTCAATTATTACTGATCTAGTGAGTTGTCATATCCAAAAAAGCCTTATAAGTCTTACTTGTCCAGAGGTTGACAGTAAGAGAAAGCTTACTTGAATTATCTATTAGAGTGTTTTTTAGAGAGATTTTTAGTTCTGAGTAATGTTTTAACAAATCTCATTTAACTATGTTTGCAGAGGAAACTTCAACATTACCCAAGGCTTTAATTAATTTAACCAACTCCTGGAAACTTTCTGATTTGATAGTTGTAAAGGAAAGACCTTCTGCTGCAATTCACTTGACTAATACTTTCCTAAAAATGCTTTCATTTGACTAAGAAACTAGAGCTATAAGATCTTCAGACTATCCGCCTTGGAGATGTCAATATTATAAACATTAGAAATATGGTTGTGCAAGCTGGTGGTGCTACTACTGCTTATAATAAGAAATTTGTTATGAGGACGGAGATGGTATTTGGCTTTTTGCTTGCCAAATTCCTCAAAAGGTGGTTTAAAAAATAACTATACTCAAGCCTTTTTTTGAGTTAGTACACAAGCACAACTAGTAGAAGCCATTTTTTAAAATAGAATAATTATTTGATATAAAAATTTTTATTTAAAAAAAAATTTGAAGGTATGATTTTATTTGTTATTAAACAAGTTACAGGCTTTTTTCTATATTTATATTTATATTTTTACTCTAACTACACTAATGATTTTTTTGTGCATAACAATCACGCATAACATTTGCACATAAAGATCATGTATAATGTTTACGCATAAAGTTCATGAACCAAGATTACATATTGGAATCACACATTGAGATCATGCATAATGATCATGCATTGAATTTAGTATTGATGAGATGTTAAGAAAATTTGAAAAAAAATTAGACTATGCAAAATTAATATTACGATTTTCTTAAAGTTTTAAAAAATAACCTGGCAATCTCAGTTTTGAATTTTCCAAAAAATTTATATATATAAAAAATATATAATTAAAAAACTTTTATGAAATTAAACCAGGCTGTGTTATAATTAATTGATTAAGTT